AGAATCTCAAGGGCAGAAAATAGAGTCAGAGACAGCCTCTACTCCTTCTCTGTCCCACAAGAAGATCAAGTCACACATCCATAACACACGCAGAGGACACAGGTAACTTTTATACAAGTTCTCTAGATGGTGGTTTAGTCTCTGTGAACTCCCATGAGCCCAGGTGACTTGACTCTGTGTGTTTTCCCATGGTGTTCTTGGCCTCTGGGCTCCCATAATCCTTCCTCCCCCTTCTCCACAGGATTTTCCAAGGTCTGTCTCGTGTTTGCTTGTGACTGTTTTTATCGGTTTCTGGTTGAAGCCTCTCTGGTGACAGCTGTACTGGACAATGATCCATCATTATAAACAAATATCATTAGGAATCATTTAATTAACCCTTTTTTCATTTTTTTGTCAGTCATATTGGGTTCTATCCTAGGTATACCAGTTCTTCTGACCCACTAATGTGGGGCGTTTATGGACTCTCCTGTAAATTCTTTCACCATTGTTTGATGGTTCTAGCATATGGATCCTGTCTTTATTTTGTTAGACTTATACCAAGATAAAGTATTTTTGGAGCCGTAATAGTATTTTTAAATATTTTACCAATTATTATTACCATAATTTAATGACAGTTTTAATTGCCTTTTAATGGTTCCTTGGTAGCAGGCCTTCGGGTAATCACTGTTTTCCTTATTCTGAGACACTCATTCTGGAAAAAGACATTGTTGCTGGTTGTCCTTCTGGACTTGCTGCTCTTAAAATATATTTGCAGTAGTTGACTTCTTTGTGGCTTCCACTGTTTCTTGTTTTTCAATCTTGAGCATCAAATCTAGGGATTCATGCATGTTAGGCAAGTGTTCACCCAAACCACTGAACTATATCCCTGGCCCCCTTGCTACTTTATATTTTAAGCGAGGATTTCACTAAGTTGCCTAAGTTGTCTTTGAACTTGTGATCCTCTTAGAAGCCGGGATGACAGGCCTGAACCACCAGCCATGGCTCCCTATTGTTTCTTAGGAAAAATGTGTGGTTGTTGAATGTTCAATTCTTCGTCATTAGAGGTAATGGTACATTTTTTTTCCCTTGGCTTTTGCTACATTTTCCCTTTGTTTTTGACTCTAGGAACTTTAATCACGGAATATTTGGGTGGGGATTTCTTTGGGTGTATCTTTTGACTATTTGCCTTACACCTACTTCAAATCCAGTTAACGTTCCTCTCATTTGTTTGAGTTAGAGCTTCTGTGGCTGCGCTAAAGCCCTCTGATCTGAAGCAGGAAAGGACTTTTCCGTATTGTAGCTTGCCATCATCCAGGGAAGTCAGAGCAGGAAGGTGGAGGCAGGAGCTGATGCAGAAGCCATGGAGGAATACTGTTTACTGGAGGGCTCCTTGCTTAGCCCGCTTTCTCATGTAACTCGGGGTACTCTTACATTACCCACTGATAAGAAAATGCCTCCCAGGCATGCCAACAAGTCAATCTGATGGGGATATTTTCTCAATCGAGGGTCCCTCTTCTCAATGATTCTCGCTTGTGTCAAATTGACAAAAAAAAAAAAAAAAAAAAAAACAAAAAAACTAAGTAGGATACCCTCATCTAAATACAAGGAGAAACTTGAAGCAGTCTGGAGTATATCACTTTACCTGGATTCCCATAGTTTCTTTTTTCCATTAAACAATAAACTCACTGTGTGGGGGAGGGAGGCACGTGGGGAGAGGATGTCAGAGATGGTCATCTTTCAGATCTCTGCAAGAGCTTGCTTAGATGCCTTTAATGCTCAGAAACTTAATGCTAATTGTCTTTGTGAATATCAGAAATAAAGATAAACTTAATGCAAATATCTGAAATTGGCTTAGAAATTATGGCTAGTTATCTGAAAAACTAGATTTGTTAAATTTTGTTAGTATACGTTTGTTGAATGAGTAAATAATTAGATGATCTCGGGAGGTATGGCTAAACAAAAAGCAAGCCACACTTCCATACTTAAATCTGCTAGATTATTTTGTAGTTTTTGTTTGTAATGAACTGTTCTTAGATGGCTAGCCATTTAAATCTCTGATTGGATGGGCTAAGAGATGGTATTTTGTAAAGTTGGATTTCATTAGAAGACTTTACTTGGCTAATGATTTTCAGAGTAAGAGTCTATTTTTCAAATTTATTTGTTTATATATTTATTTTTATTTTATGTGTATGAGTGTTTAACCTGCATTTATGTGCAGGTTCCTCATGAATGCTTTATGCTGCAGAGGTCAGAACTGGAACTGGATCTCCAGTAACTAGAGTTGCAGATGGTTGGGACCATATGTGGATGCTGAAAACTGAATTCAGATCTTCTGCAAGAGCAACACCTGCTCTAAGCTGCTGATCCATCTCTTTAGCTCCAGAGTCTATTTCTTGATAAATGAACTATTTCACAATATTGATTTAGCAATACTTGACTTACCAAGAAACTATTAGTGTTAATCAGTACCATTAATTAGGCAAATAAAATTAACTTTCACGTGGTGCAAGGAGAATTATTCATTTCTGTAGAACTGGGTGCTAGACACTTGACTAAATTGTATAGTTCTCCTGTGTGGCTTATTGACGGTCAGGGCATGTGTAGCTCTTTAAATTACCCAGTTATTATGTTCATTTTAGTGAAAAGATAGCTTTCCCTTTTCATGGGAAAGGTTGAGAAGTTGACAGAGTAGCTTCAAACTTTCTTGTCTTAAAGTTGATATTGCTCCTTTAGACATTGTAAAAATAGCTTTCTCTAGTTTTTGTAGCATGACGAATAAAAACCCAGAGACAGAAGCTGGGGTTCGACATGAAGATCAGAAAAGCAAAACAGCCAGTCGCTAGCTCTTACCTTTACCTCAGTTTGAAATGACGATCCTGTCTGCAGGAATCTCAGAATGAGACTGTGTCTGAGATCTGTCTCTTCCCATTTTATGTCCCTCCCTAGTGCTGGGATTAAAGGTGTGTACCACCTCCACCTGGTTTCTATGGCAAAGGAACTTAGCTACTGGGATTAAAGGTGTGTGTCACCTCTGCACGGTCTGTAAGGCTGATTAGTGCGGCTGATTTATTCTCTGAACTTCAGGCACGCTTTATTTATTAAAGTACAAATGAAATATCTCTACAAGTTTTGAAAAGGACCTTCAATGTATAATTAATCAACCCAAATGGATGTTATCTGAATATAAGAAATTTTTATAATTTTGAATAATTTCCTCTCTCGGCTCATCCTTGAAGTTTAGAAACTTGGGGTAGCTCAGAATTTGTAGCTTTCCATCTTCCAATAAAGCATAAAAGACTGCAATAACTTACGGTCTTTTACTGGAATGGAAAAAGACACATCTTTCATTTGGTCAATAATTTCAACCATTTGGAAAAGTCAATTGATTTAAAAGCCTAAATTTAGTTTCTACCCAGTATGTGAGACTTCTGAGTGGATTCTATAGCCAGTACGATGTGTTCTCTCTTCCTTGCTATGTTGCGGTCTGCCTCTGCCTTTGGAGCCCGTGAAAATAAACAGTGAGGGCACGTGGCTTCATCGAGGGTTTAAAAGGGTAGCTTTGCAAATCTGTATGTTGTGGATCATGGTAATCACCCTGAGGTATGCGAGGCCTTCTAATGCATTCCCTTGCAGAGCTATTATCCTGTAGGCAATCTAATAGGAAAAGTTGCCCTAAAGAGACTGGGGTTGTGGTGAGGAGGAGGAACATTTTCATAGAGTCAAAAAATAAATAAATAAAAGGAAGAAAAAACTTGGTGAATATCCTTTATTGTGTTTCCAAGAGTCAAAATGTTAACAATTGTGTTTTCTCAAGATTAATAAAGTAAGTAGAATTAATGAAAAAGTAAAAATCGGGCTTGGGGGAACCAAAAGTGTCTCAACTTCCATGGGTACCATCTCTGTCACTCTGTCTGCTCATTAAGATCAGTTTGACTTTTAGCCCAAGTCTTAGCTGAGTGCTGAGAGTACAGTGGTGCTGTAGCAGAGGCTTGCCCAGTGAGCATCTGTTGAGTTAGTAAATGAATGAACCACACACATTTCCCTAGTGTCTGTCAAGGCAGTCTATGCTAACACACAGAAAGCGAAGAAGTGGTGTCTTAACATGATTCCCACTGTTTTTCTTCTCAGAAAAAATTTGTACATGATTGATATGTTTCCATGGCAGTTTTACGATAATTAAGGGATCATTGTATAAGGGAAGGCAGAACATTGTAAGAGCTGGAAGAAAAGGGAATTTGCTGGAGGAGTGTGTCTCCTAGAAATGTCAGAAGCTGTACCCGTGACGTCCCATCAATACTGTTGCTTAAACGTGACCTGAACACGAACAACAACAATGGAAAAGCTAAGGTGGACTGGGGAAAGCTTATGAAGCCTTAGCGCTATGCAGAGAACTATAGGCAGCTAGGCAACGCTGGGAGCAGGAGAAACAGTCTTCCCTAGAGAAGAGCACACCAACTGATTGGCCAGCACCAAGTGGTCAACCCTGAAATCATACACATACAAGTAACATTATACAGATTGAATAGATTGCTTTTATGTGGTGAGTCCACATAAAATTTTATTTTATTATAATCTCAAAAAATTATTTAAGTTAATTATTTAAAGAGGTGACGTGAGTGACACACTGATCTGGGCATTAATGCCATCAATTAGGGACTCTGTCAGCTCCTAAACTTGGGATCCTCAAGTTCGTTTTGCTTTCTGATCTGAGAAACAATCTTTCATGGCTAAGAGCAGCACGGACAGGCAGGAGTTAAAGGGATAGGGAAGATGCAAATGCATCCAGCCCAGAATCCAATGTCCAGAAGGTCTGGTCTAGGACAGTTCTCTGAGTCTATGCAGGAGTTCACTAGCTTGATGGTAGGCAAGAGTCCAAGCTAATGTTGTAAACATCCTTATTTATGTAAGAGTAGATAAACGTGTACTTTAGGAAAATGACTGTGGCACATTCCAAGTGATAAAATAACCATTTGCTGTAAAATTTTCAGTTATAAAGAAGCCCAGAGTACGGGATCCCTTGCAGGCTCATTGACTTTAATTTAATGGATCAGCTACGCAGCAGCCTATAGTCTGAAGCTCAGTGAGGAAGGATGGAGAGTTCATTCCTTTCAGTCGGCTGCCCGGACGAAGCATGGCTTTCCTTGAAATACTCATTGTGTGATTGGCGGGCTGGCCTTGCCCGTACTTTCTGCTTTGAGATGACCTTTGCGCATGTGCACTGACAGAAAAGGAGTGTGGCTAAAGTAAGCTTAGAGGAAAAAAGTTCCTTAGCCTGTAATGTTGATTTGTAATTCCTGTCGTTCCTCTTGGAAATTGTTGACATTCCCATGTGCAAATTCCCTTATCCAAGAGGAAACCTTGACATTTCAGAAGAGAAGTGTGTTTTTAACCAGAGGGACGTTTAAAACACTGTCAGTGGGCATTGAGAATCTTCTTTGAATCGACGGACATAGCCTGTGTGGAGAACGTTTTGCTCCGATGTGAGAGAATCCTGCGGCTCCCTCTCTGCTCTGCCATCGCTCCATCCTCAGAGGGCTCTTCATTCAGTTCCAAGGTAAACCTAAAGGCAGAGGAGGGGCATGAGCCGAAACTAATGACTCACTGGAAGGGATTCTTTGTAAACAAACTTCCTTGCCTAGTCTTTTTTACTGTGACGCTCACGTCTGTGTGTGAATGCTGACATATCACTTCCGCCACCGCCTTGGCTGGCATTCATCAGCGTCATCTGGAATCACAGAGCCTTCGGGTATGGTTAAGGCCAGGTTTTAAGATTCTGAGTTGTTCCTCAAAGTGGTCTCAGAAATCTGAGATTTTGTAATGCTATACAAGTAAGTAGTTGCTTATTTAGATGTAGAAATATTTTATATTGGAAGAGGTATGATAGAGTGGACATCTTTGCCCACAGCTGGTCCAAGTTCTGGAAAAATCTCACCTCTGTGGAAAGGGCTTTGTCAGAATGGATGAACAGTATCAAAGTGCTCCTTTTAGCAATTATAATTATGAGACTCTGTTGCAAGAAATATTTTAGATAAAAATGAAATTTTATACCGAAAATGTCTTACTATATAGGACATTGACTTTGCAGCTCATATCCAATATCTCTTTAAAACCATGTGTACAGTAACTATGGAGTTAGTAGTATAAATGAACTTTTTGTTAAGAGAATCAAGATGATAAGAATTTTATTAAAACTAGAAAAATTAGCACACTTCATGTGGCTAGAGCAGTATTTCTTCATCTCTTAGCTACTCAGTTATGTAAAATAAAAGTCCTTAAATGAAATAGGCCAGGAAAAATTTCCTCAATGTACAAGGCACAGTCATCCAGAAACTGTGGCTGTGAATATACACGTGTATTTGTGTGTGTGCATGTGTGTGTGGACATATACACATATATTTGTATGTAGTACATGTGTATATTTGACTTCGTGCTTTTGGATGTTTTATTCTTTCATTTATTACCCCCCCTCCTTTTTTTGTTCTTTGAAACAGGATTTCTCTGTGGTAAAAGTCCTGTCTGTCCTGTAATTTACTTTGTAGACCAGGGTTGCCTTGAACTCACAGAGATCCGCCTTCCTCTGCCTCCCAAGTGCTGGGATTAAAGGTGTGTACAGTCACCACCCAGCTTAAAATGTTTTTATATTGGTGCTGAATTTCTTCATATATTCATTTAAGAGGGAGTCTTGCTGCTGTGTTGCCCTGGTAAAGCCATCATGATCCTCCTGCCTCAACCTTCTGAGAATTGGCACTGAAAGTCTGAGCCAGTCTGTGGCTGGCTGGAGAGGTTTTTTTTTTAAAAATCATAAATGAATACTGAATTTCATCAAATGTTTGTCTGCATCTCTTGCGATGATTTATGTTTTTTTTTTTATGCTTCATTCTGGTAAAGTGATGGATCACATTTTCATTGATTTATATGTGTTAAATGAGCCTCTTCTCTCTGGGATAAATGCCAGTTGATATTGTATTTAAAACAGCATGGTATTGGCACAAAAAAGCTAATGTAAATACACCAGTGGCCAGACAGAAAGCCAGAAATAAACCCAACTATTTATATGGAATTGATTTTTGACAAAGGGGACATGAACACACAGAAAGGAAAGAGCAGTGTATTTAATAAATGGTACTGAGAAAACAGAGCATCTATATGCAGAATGGAATTGGACCATTTTTTCAAACCAAATATAGAAACAAACTCAAAACTTATAAAAGACTTAAATATAATGCCTGAAACTGTGAGACTGTAGGAGAAAACTGGGAGGAAAGCTCTACAACATTGGTCTGGGTTAGACCTCAGAAGCTCAGTCAACAAGAGCACAACCAGACAACTGGGATTTCACCAAAGTAAAAACCTGCTACACAGCAAAGGAAGAAATTAACAGAGGGGCGAGTCAACGTCCAGCATGGGTCACAAAACAGCTTCTGAGAAAGTCTTGCTGTTTAAAATGTAAAAGGTGCCTGGGCAACCAATAACAATAAGATAACTCAGTTCAAAAGGACACAATGGATTTGAGTAGGCATTTTTCAAAAGAAGAGACATGGGTGGCTAACAGATGATGAAAGATTGTTGAGCATCTCTATTCAGTGAAATGTGAATTAATATCACAACGAACTATCAGCTGATACCTGTTAAAACAGATATTATAAAGAAGGTGGATAACAATTATTGGAAAGGCAGTAGAGAAAATGGCAACTTGTGCGAATTAGCATGCTGACTTTGGAGAATAGAATGTCAAGTAGTTTCACCCCCCCTCAAAAAAACAATTGTCCAAAAAAATTTGAAACTAGAATACTGAAGTGCTAGCTATACAATAGCTAATACTCAGAAGCAGAGCTGATATCCTCTATAGGATGAATGTATAAGTAAATATGGAATAAATACAAAACACAATGTTATGAATACAAAAATATTTTTTATAGTTTGTGTAGGACCCAAGAAACATATGAGATTTCATTATATCGATGTATCATTATTTACCAAGTTCACTTATTGTTTATCTGAAGTTTGAATTTAACTAAATTTTAATTCTCAAAGGATTAAAAACCATTCTTTCAGGCCAGAGTTGGTAGGCTCCCATTAGCTCAGGTAAGCTGTTTTAGTGCGTAGCCCTATCATGGTCTTGACCTCTTTGCTTGTATTCTCACTCCTCCAACTCTTTGACTGGACTTTGGGAGCTCAGCCCAGTGCTCCACTGTGGATCTCTGCCTCTGCTTCCATCAGTTGCTGGATGAAGGTTCTATGATGACATTTAAGATAGTCATCAAACTGGGCAAGGCCAGTTCAGGCACCCTTTCCTCTATTGCTTAGGGTCTTAGCTGGAGTCATCCTTGTGTATTTCTGGGAATTTCTCTAGTCCCAGGTTTCTTGTTAGCCCCATAAGGGCTACCTCAATCAAGGTATCTCTTTCCTTATTCTCCATCTCTGTCTTTCCCGCGTCTGGACCATCCTGTTCCCTCAAGTTTCCTTCTCCCTCCCATTTTCCACTCCTCCTCCCCCTCCACCTACCATTCTCCCCCTCTTCCCACACTCCCAATTTTCTCAGATCTTTTCTATTTCCTCTTCCCAGGGGGATCTATATATGTTTCTTTTGGGGCTCTCAATGTTACTTAGCTTCTCTGGGGTCGTGGACTACAGGCTCGTTATCCTTTGCTTTACAGCTAGTATCCACTTATGAGTGAGTACATACTATGTCCATCTTTCTGGGTCTGGGTTACCTCACTCAGGATGTTTTTTTTTTTTCTAGTTTCATCCATTCGCGTGCAAATTTCAAGGGCAACTCTGGCCTGACAGCTAGGAAACCAGCATAGGATCAAACTAGGCCCTCTGACTGTGGGCAACAGTTGTATGGCTGAGGCAGACTGTAGGTCCACTGGCAGTGAGACCAGGATTTATCCCTACTGCTTGTTCTGACTTTTTGGAACTTATTCTTTCTGGAGGAATACCTTGCTCATCCTAGATGTAGCAGGGAGGGTCTTGTTCCTGCCTCAAAGCATTGTGCAAGACTTTGTTGACTCCCCATGGGAAGCCTTACCTCTCTGTGGAGTGGATGGGGGTGAGATGGAGGGGAAGGTGGAGGGAACAGGAATGGGGAGGGAGTGGCAACTGGATTTGGCATGTAAAATAAGAAAAGATAGTTTCTTTTTAAGCAAATTAAAAAAATAAAAGCCATTCTTTGAGAAATAATATCAACACATAGCTCAAACTGACCTTGAACTTGTGATCCTTTTGCTTCAAACACCTGAGAACGAGGATTCAGGTATGAGCCATGACATGACCCCTATTCTCTGAGGTTCAAGTTTGAGTGACACTGGAAACTGAGGCAGTTAAGTGGACCCTAGCTGACTGCAGAACGAACAGTTAGCTGAATCGTGTTCTACTGTTTATTGATTACAAAGGATCACAAGGATTACAAAAGATCTCCAAAGCTATCTCAGGTGAATCCAGAAACAGAACTAAAATTGTCCAGGAAGAAGCCAAAAAGAAGTGCCCTGTCTAATGGAGTGAATCTGGGTGATATACACCAACAACAACATCTTTGAGGATGTGACCTCATCAGAAATGTGGCAAGCCTCAATATCAAGGGGAAGAAGGAAATGCAAAAGGCTATCACCCCTGTCCCCGTATATACATGTTAAAAGTAGGATGCTAAGCTACTCATTAGGAAAAATGCTCTCCCATTCATGGAAAAAGAAAGACGATATGTAAGGCAGAACTGTAGGTCCAGTGGCCAGTCTTATTTACAGACGTCATAACTGTAGGCCCTGCTGGCTGAGCTGCAAAACACAGAAAACAATTCCTAGGGATTGGAATCTAATGAATTTTCCCCAGCTGTGTCTCAGTGGATCCTTTTCTTCATTCCTCCCCAACGTTGGACGGAAACGACAACTTACTATACATCAATTCCAACACTCTAATTTGAGACTATTTAACTTATTTTCTACTTTTATAGGCCCATGGATGAAGAAAAATTTTGCCCCAGATGGCTTATATGAAGATTATCATCCATGTGTGATTTAGAGAATAAAATTTAGGTATTTTGAGTTGATGATATTCAGATGAGATCTTTGAATTGCATCAATGCTATAATGGGTTGAGACTTTTGAAGATGCTAAGACTGGGCGAGTATCTTTAGTATGTGGAGTGGGTGTGAAAGTTGAGGTGGTCAGAAGACAGGCACTAAAAGGCAGAACAATTATTGTTAACGTTCATTCCTCATCCATGGAATGTGTGCATGTTTTGCTTTACAGGGCGTAAGGCCTTTCCAGGTGTGGTTACATTGTACATGCTGAAACAAAGAGATAGTTTAGGATTACTCTGGTGGACAAATGTCCTTAAGGCAGGAAAGATGTAAGGAGCAGGAGCCAGAGAATAGAGAAGCTGTGTGTTGTGGGTCTAAAGAAGAAAGAAGAAATCAGGGATGTAAGTTGCCTCTGATAACTTGAGAAGATTCAGATCTTCCTTGAACATTCCTAAAGGAGCACTTTGTCTCACTTTGGAGTTCTAAGTTCTAGAGTAACTTTGTGTTGTTTTAAGTCCCATGAAGTTTGTTAGAATTTGGTGCCTTCATCATAGGAATTTATTATACCTAGTGTTCTATAAGTAATAATTCTGGTTCTGGAGAGAACTGGTCTCAATAGATGCCCATTATGAACCAGAAGTTCCACCTGCCCTCGAAAATTTCAATTAAACAATCTCATAAAATTGTGGCCACTTTACAGATAAGGGAAAGAGTATAGTTCAGAGCTAGTTAAGTATAGTTTTTGTAAGTTAGTCGGAGGGCTCAAAAAGTCCCTCTCTTACATGAGCAAGGAAGTCAAGACCGCAAGGGGGGCACTCCCCTCCCCCCCCCCGAGACGGTGGGGCTGATCTACTGGGAGCTCACCAAGGCCAGCTGGATGGGGACTGAAAAAGCATGGGATAAAACTGTACTCTCTGAATATGGTGGACAATGAGGGCTGCTGAGAAGCCAAGGACAATGGCACTGGGTTTTGATCCTACTTCATGTACTACTGGCTTTGTGGGAGCCTAGCCTGTTTGGATGCTCACCTTCCTAGACCTGGATGGAGGGGGGAGAACCTTGGACTGCCCACAGGGCTGGGAACCCTGACTGCTCTTCGGACTGGAGAGGGAGGGGGAAGGGAGTGGGGTGTGGGGACTGGGGGGAGGGGGAGGGAAAAGGGAGGCGGGGAGGAGGCGGAATTTTAATAAAAATAAATAAATAAAAGTCCCCCTTTTCCTTGCCTCCTCTTCTGCCTTTTTCTTTCATGTTCCCCTTCCTCCTTATCATTTGCCACAGAAGTACTGTCCAGGAAGAATTTCTGGAGTGAACAAGTCCAACACCTGCATCATCCCTTATGTGTGGACCCCTGTGCCTGTTTACGGCCTGGCTTTTACCACCTGGAGGCCATTCCACCACAAACAGTTAAGCTTCTAGATAAGCCAATTTTATACTGCGGTCAAAATGAGTATTCAAAAGGCTATGCTTTATGGGTTAAATATGGATTTTTTTAATGCCAAAATGGTCTAGATTATACTGTAGGCAAAGAAAAGCTCATGCTATAAATTTCAACAACTGAGCCAGAACAAAGGAGTTTCTTTAGAGCCGTGGTTCTCAACCTTTAGGTCACGACCTTTAGGCAGTTGAAGGACCCTGTCACAGAGGTCTCCTAAGGCCATCAGAAAACAGAGATATTTACATATCTCTGTTATGAATCTGTTATGAATCTGTTATGATTCATAACAGTAGCAAAATTACAGTTATTAAGTAACATCAAAAATAATTTTATGGTTGGGGTCAGTACTCTGTTAAAGGGTTGCAGCATTAGGAATGTTGAGAACCATTTGCTTTAGATGATCAGGTAAAGTAACAGTAGAAAAGGCTCCATAGACAGGTTGGTAAGAAACCAAGTTTACACTTTATAAGCATCTTATTTGCATACTTTGATTAAAAGGCCTGCAATGCCTTAGGTACAGATCTTGGCTAAGCAAGGAGCTGGTGGCTAGCTGAGGCTGGTTAAGGAGGCCACATTGCTTCTCTTTGTGCTCAACCTGAAGTCATTCTACCACCTTCTTGCTATGTCTCAGCCTTCTAAAATGTGTAAAATGTGTTGGGAGAAAATCCTGCAGGGAGCTCTCTGCAGACTGAAGATATTATCTCTTCATGGATCTGTCAGCTGGCCAGGGGATAACATCTGGCAGAACAGCTGGTAAGATGGCACACACAATCTGCCACTGAGGAGAAGAGCCTCAGTTACTGGTAAATTAGATGACATACTTGTCACCAATGCAAACCTGCCTGGAACTTATTGTGCTCTTCCAAAATGTGATCTCGAGGTCAACTATTCAACATAGAATATCTAACAGACAGGGGGTCCTCCTCCTTCCTTCATTGGGTTCCTTCCGTCATTCCATTCCACCAAAAAGAATTCGTTCATTATTCCAAACAAAAATATATAAATATTATATATTATGTGTAATATATTATATATAACATATATGGAATATATTGCATCTATTATATTATATATGGCATATCATAAATGTTATTTATAGCATAAATATGATATCACAATATCATATATCATAGTATATAATACATATCAATATACTTATATAATATATTTATATCACACATTATAATATATACCAACATTAACTTCATTTAATATATTCATATCATATATTATAATATATCAATATTATATTTATATATTATATAATAATATAAATTTATATGTTTAACTCATATAATATATAAATATATTATACAGTTACAAAGACTATATTATAAATATAACTATATTATATGTATATACCTTACATGTAATACATATTACATATATATTTTTTATTTTGTGTTACAGTGTAAAGAAGCATCAAGAAGGGGAAGCATTGAGCATGCAGCTTGGATGGTAGGTGGTCAATGAATGCTGTTTCTGCTGTGTTGTTATTGCATCAGGAATGCTCTGGTCCCTGTGTAACCCAGAGTGTCATTGTATGATGGGGTTGTGAGCTTTTGTGCGAGGTCATGAGGTTAGAGAATGAGTGGGTCAAATAGCATTTTGTTGTTCCTGTGACTTAAGTGATACCGTGTTGTTAGGATAATAAAATAACTCTCCTTAGTGGCAACACAGTGAAGGAAGAAAGACTCTGCTGGTTGTCTATTAGGTGTATTTGCTCTGCGGGGAACAGTTGACCCAAGATCACAGACCATCAGTCCAGACTTTGTTATGATGATATGTGGTACACTCTTTTAAAGTTTTTCCAACCAGAATGTTAATTCTTCACTTGTTGCTTTCTTTTTCTTTACAAGTTCCTATTTTACTATGTTGTCAAAGTTTCCTTTTTACAATTTTTATTAATTCTTTGAGAATTTCATACAAGATATTTTGATCATATCCATCTTCCTCCTCAATTTCTCCCACATTCTCCCCCTCTGCTCTTATCCACACAACTTCATGTTCTCTCTATCTCTATATTTTTATCTCCCTCACCCCCTTTTTCCCCCTTTCCTCCCAATCAAGTCCAGTTTGTGTTGACTGACTGCTCTTGGGTATGGGGCCTGTTCTGGAATGTGGCCAATATAGCAAATGTGACACCATTAAAGAAAACTGACTTTCTTTCTCTTAAACAGCAACCTTAGGTGGAGGTGGAACTTTGTGCCCACATCCCCTCCTCCATGCTGGGATTTTTTTCTGGTGTGAGCTTGTGTGACTTTTGTGCACGCTGTCACAATCCCTGAGTTCACATGCACATCTTTCCTGTTGTATCTGGAAAACACCATTTCCTTGAAATCTTTCATTGTCTCTGGCTTTAAAAAACCCTTCTCTCTTCTCTTCTGCATACATACATCTCTGAACCTTGAAGATACAGATGTGATGTAGACATCCCATTTAGTACTGAGTACTCTGAGGTCTCTTTTTTGCTCATTGTTGACTAGTTGCCAGTCTCTGTGTAAATTGCCTTCTACCTCAAGAATATTCTCAGATGAGAGCAATTCACTGACCTATGGGTATAGCAAGAAGTCATTAGGAGATGTTTTATTACTGTGTCTATTTAACAGAGGAATAGTAGCAGATTTTTCTCTAGGCCCATGATCTATCTAACCCCAGGTCCTTGATCCTACTGACAATGTCAGATGTGGGTTCCATATAGTGGAGTGTGCCTTTAATACATTTAAAAAGGTGTTGATTACTTTCATATAACCTTCATGCCAGAATACTGGCATTAGTGGTGATATTTGGCCAGGCAGGTCATTTTTTGTGGCTCTCAGAGCACACAGCTGGGTGTGACAATGACTTTTCTCTTCTGGTGACCTATATAGAACTTCCCAGTACCATGAAAGCTAGCCAGTAGAGCTGAAGCTTCCAGGTGGGAACCAGATGGATTTTTTTCAAGTTCTACGATCACATTTAAGATGCTTTCAAGAGTGTTTTACTGGAGGGTGTCTAGGGGATCCCAGTGGCAGACAACTCAAAGTGGTAACCCACTCCTGGTAGTGGGGTTTTTATTTAGTAGCATATATCTAGCATTCTGGATTGTGATTTTTTTTATCTTTTTGAGACAGGATCTCATACAGGCAAGGTTGATCTCAAACTCACATGTAGCTGAGGATGACCCAGCATGTCTGATCTTCCTATCTCAAACTCTTACACGCTCATATTCCAGGTGCACACCACCACATCACAGCTAGTGTTAATTTTCTCTTCCCAGTCAAGTGGTTATGAGAACCACAGCAAACTTGGGAATGTGGGGATAAATGTGGAGTTAATGTTTTCCTTTCTGCTGGAACTGTCTGGATAAATGGGAGCTGTGGGGTTTCCTTCAAACCTGTCTTTGCATAGAGTCAGTGCTTTTATGTGAGTCTGCGTTATTTGCAAAAGACAAAGTAAAGTCTGATTTTTTAAAATCATCTTGAATTTGTTCTACAATCTAAAGGAACACTTGAGGCAACTGTGACGATATGTACAAACAAACTTTAAAAGGCATTCCTGACAGCCACAGTTCTAAGCTTCAGGGTGCCTGAGAATTAAGGTTGGTAGAAGGCAATTGCTTATGTATGGCATTGATGTGGGAGTCCCCTCTGTGTGCTGTGATTACCATTAATGAATAGAGAAACTGCCTTGGCCTGTTGATTGGGCTGAGTATAGGTAGGTGGGGGAAACTGAACTGAATGCTGGGAGAAGGAAGGCGGAGTTAAGGAGCCACCAGAGATAGACATGCTGAAACTTTGCTGGTAGGCCACAACCTTGTGGTGATGCACAGATTAATGGAGATGGGTTAAATTAAGATGTAAGAGTTAGCCAATAAGAAGCTAGAGCTAATGGGCCAAGCAGTGATTTAATTAATACATTTTCTGTCTGGTTATTTCGGGGCTAAGCTAGCCCAGTGGCCGGGACAAACAAGTGGGCATTCCTCCTACATGATATGATCATATAGAGAGGGCAGTAGGGTGATTTTATAATCACAGTGTGTTGTGTACAAATATGATATGGTCAAGTGTAAAAATGAATTACAACAAATTCCTGGGCTCCGTTCCATAGAGTCAATTTTAGAGGTTGGGATGGCTCCTGGGATGTTTTTTTCATAGGAAGTCAATTGAGTTTAGAAAATGAGCATTTGGGAGGAAGGCTTGCTTTGTCAGGGTAAAAGTTTGATATGAGGGAATAAAATACCATTTAAAATCCTATTTCCTGAAGAGGTGCCCTGGTTAATTATTATGTTGAGTAGAAACTCTTTATCCCAGCTGCGAAGCGTGGAACTTGAGCAACCGTAGGCTCTCATCCCACCATTTTCTTGCTGTGTGACTTTGAGCTCAGTGCCTCAGTTTCCTTGCCTGTAAATTAGGCTGATTCACTGCATCTGCTGCTAAATGTTCTGACTATTGGATAATACTGCCTAACAGTTATGGATGTTATAATAGCTAAGAAAAAATTGTGTAAAGCATTTTAAAACACTTTCCAGAAATTGATTTATTAAACACATCACAAATATATATTCAGATCTAGTTGTTTATTCTTATTCTGGGCTTAATTGTTCAAAGCCAAAGACTAGAGAACAGCACAGTCAGGGTTCGCAGCCAGGTGGGGTGACTCCATCATCCTTTCCATTGCTATGATCCAATAACATCTCAACCCACCGCTTCCCTCCTCCTTTACTTATCTTGAAGCCCCAGATGAGCCAGCCTTCATTCCTATGAGCTGAAATATCGTTTGGTTAATTGAGCCTAACACACTTTGCTGAACAGCCAGGCCAGGGTGCACTGTGGCAGAAAGGATTAGTTAGTTGTGTTACTCTTGGGCAGGTGGCTTCCAGCCCAGCATTCTGGAGGGTTCTGGAGTGTCCTGTGTCAAAGACCTAGGTCAGTGGGCTGCAGCTCTGCTTGTTTCCACCAGTGGGCCTCTTGGGTGAGGGAACTGGACATCTCACTGTTGCCTGCTCCACCCCCGTGGGGAAGAGAGCTATAGCTTTCTAACTACAAACATTCTTTCAGGGATTTTCTTTGGATGCCCTGGAGCTGAAGGTGTAAGACTTTGTGGCATTGAGGGAGCTAGGGCTCCAAACCAGTGTACCACAGATGGGGTAGTAGCTTAAACAGCAGGCATCTGAGCTCAAAAGGATCATTCTGAAGTCTAGAGGTCCAAAATCAAGGTGTTGGTGGGACTGCGTTTTGATGAGCTCTCGTTCTATGCTTGACCTTCGTGTGTTGGTGTTCTACACACCTTCACCGTGTCTTTCCTGTTGTGTGTCTGTGTCCTATTTCTTCTTGAAACCATACTTCTCTTGTGGCTCCACCCAAATGGCCTTTCTTCTTTTTTTTGCTGGTCCTATGTCCAATTACATCCTAGTGCACTGGGAGTTAGTCAGCACAACATACTAAGGGAAGTCACAATTTAGTTCCCATCACACACGTAAGTGCTGTCGTGGCTGACTAGTGAATGTGCCGTGGTGTTAGCAGTGTGCCGTTTCCATTTTCACATCTAACACATACACACTTTCCACCTACTTTTAGAGCCCCTTGCACACTGGACCTACGGGCACTGGGACATTCTGTCTACTCCGCGTCTCTCTACATGTGAAGGAACTGACCATTGCACACCTGCTGATTAACTTGTCAAGAATCCATCCTTTATCTTTTTCTCTGTGTGTATGGTGTCTGGGAAGCCTGTGCCTTCTGGGCTCTTGCTTCCTTCCTTGGTCCTGCCTCGCTCCCCAGCAGTGTTTGTGCCCCTCTGTGAAGGAAAAGTTTCTTCTTCAATGTTCTCCTTAAAGAAATGGGGCCCCAGCTTGCTGAGCAGAGCTGTGTGTGTGTGTGTGTTTTCTCTGCTCGCTTGCTTTTCTGTCACCAGATTGCTCTGGGAGCAGTGATGCTCTTAATTAAGCTGAGATCTGAGGTGCTTAAAATGCAGAATTCACAGGCAAGCTGGCCGACGCCTGAGGCTTGAAAGAGATGCTTTTAATCGTCAGAACTCTAGATGTGTCGCCCTGTAAATGCTCCCCCAGTTCGGCTTGAATTAGCTTACAGGACCAAAGTGTAGACACATTTGAAATGAGGAGGGGGAGTTACACTTTTTATCTTCCCCATGCTATTAGGTAGCTGAAAAACCGTGGCATTAAGGAAAAAACATGGAGAACCTCTCTGTGTACCTGTTCTACCATGGGAAAGTAGCCCCAATTTAATGAAAGAATGAGTATAGGTCTGTGGAGAGAGTTAAGCTTGTAAATTGCTTGCTGGGCCAGCATGAGAACACGAGTTTGATTCCTAGCAGCAACATATAAACAGAACATGGGGATGTATGCTTATAAACCCAGAATCAGGGCTGGCGAGAAAGGAGGATATCTGGGCCACATCACCAGGCAGCCAGGCCAGTCTCTAGACTCCAGGAGATATTTATTCTTTTCCATACATGGG